CAGCAGGAACAGACCAGATGAAAATGGTAATGGGATGTAATTCAGTGTTTTTGTGTCGTACAGCCTGAGAAATGCCAGTGGCCTGACGGCAGCAGACATTGCTCAAACCCAGGGTTTCCAAGAGTGTACCCAGTTTCTCTTGAACCTCCAGAATTGTCATCTGAATCCTTTCTATAACAGTGGCCCCTTAAATGGGGGCCATCCGAACATATTTCCTAATCACATTAGTGTGGGAACAAATCGCAAGAGATGCTTGGAAGATTCGGAACCCTTTGGAGTAAAGAAAGCTAGAACCACAGGTGAGACCACTTTGTGGGTGGGAAAGAGCAAACTTGTTTCCTTTCTTTAACGTGTTTTCTTTTTTATGGCTGAAAGCGCCTTCGAGATGACTCCTTCACGTAAGGGGTACTGTGCCCGGAGGACTCTGGTGCAGTGATGGAGGAGTTTTTCCTGTGTTGCCACTTTGAAGATTGGCCATTTAACGAAAGGGGGGGATATGAGAGGGCAGTGTTGACAGCTGAAGTGTAAATGTGTGTATATAACTTTCTGCACACCCAGGTTTACCTGCCATGAATTAGATTTTTCTCGTTTGTTGTTCCTGTTTGAAATACAACTATTAAAAAAAAATCTGCCCCCATGCCTCATTTCTTTTTTCCCTGTGAATTTTCCTGGGCTTACAACAATTGTTGGTCTGATAGTAAAATATAATTTCACATCTGGGAAGGTAGATGTTTGCATTGGACACAGTGTGGTGTGTGTTTGTCACAGCAAGGCCTGGTGTGCCACTTTGACATTGAGGACTTAAGTCTCTAAGGTAAGTTATTTTAGTTTTAAGTGTTCTTCCACCTTTTTATCTTTAGATAGTTTCGGGGTTTGTAAATAAGCAGAGTCAGCTAGTCACTCTTTACGGTTGAGGGAAAAAATCTCCCTTTCATTTAGGGGGGGAAAAATTAAGAATTACTAGCTTGGCAGGAATATTTAGCAAACTTACATGGAAAGGGAAATTTAGAGATGACGGTGAAAAGTAATCATGGTGAAATTATGCACTCAGATAAGTTTTGCCGAAGATAACTACAAAGTTGTGCCCTTTGGCTTTAAAAAAACAACAACTATACATGTATAGTCTGAGCAAAACCTGTCTAGTTTCAGTTGACTTTAATGTGTCAGCTTTATCCTCTTCCCAGTGCTATGCCTCTTTTGTGTAACTGGAGTCTATCCAAACAAAAACATTTTTCCTACAGAGTCAATAAAATTGTATCATCTCCTTCACAACTTTTAAAATGTTGGTCAGTATAAAAACTTGTGATTATGTGACTTTTCTATAGAAATGAATGTATGAACTTAAAAGTAAGAGTTTCTCAGATTCATAGCTTTTGTAAGTTACGGGCCTAATAGTTTTTAGAAAGGTATAAAAATCACATGCACAACCTGAAGGTATGTCTAAACTTCAAAAAATATTCCTTGTTTTGTTTAATGCCTGGTTAATAATTCTGGGATGTATTGTTAGCTTCACTCTACGACCTCATGCAAGAATTGGACGGGTGTCCATATCAGCTCAGTGTATAGGGTAAATCTTACATTCTGTTTAGGTTTTTAAAAAGGATGTCACTTAACGTTCTGAGAAGACTCAGATGTACCTAAAGAGTTTTAAACTAGTCTCATCAGGTTTGAAGTTGGGTTGAATTGGCCAGTATCTTCTTGAAGTATCTCTTTCAGGCCTTTCCAAGGATTCCTAAGACTTAAGAACTTGTTTCCTAGACCCTGGGGGTGCACAAATAGGGTTTGAATAATCATGCAGGTATTTGGGAGATTTTATTTTCCTCCTCTAGACAGGGATTCCTCTTGGTTGACTGAGTTAGAGATTGGTGTTTTGCACATTAAACTCACAGTGCAGCTTTCCCAAAGTGCCCATTCCTTAGTGCTCAGGTCGAGGATGCCAGTTGAGAAGAAAATGGGGTTGCAGCCTGGCGTTTGAGTTTGCAGGTGATGATTACGCACACCTAAGCCTCAGTGCTGCTCCAGTGCACGTGGAGAGAGCGGGGGGGGGGACTTCTCACCCTCAGCACGTGCACCTGACTTCTCAGCTCCTGTTTCCGGGCCCTCGCTTGGCTACTGGCCCCTGAGGTTCAGCCCACATGTCACTCAGGATTGTGCATATGTGTGGATGCGCATGCAGAACAGATGGGCCTTCGTCCCACCCTTGCCCCTGCACTCCTTTTTTTCTTTTCTCTGGGAGAAGGTTTCTCTTTTTTCTTTTTACCATAACATACTCACTGTGAATGGCGTATTGGGGCAGTAATTCTCAATTACTAAAACAAGGTTTTTCTTCCCAACTGCCTGAATTTTCTAAGTGAAATAATAGTTGGTTTCAATAGCTGTATAGTTATTTACATTCTGTGACTGGGGTTTTTTTGTATGTGTGTGGGTTTTATTTTTTTTGTATGTTGCTTTAGTTCATTTTCACTTAATTTCTGACATCTTGTTTTGATTTGCTATATAAATGTGTGAGCTTGAGGTTTTGCTCATTCTGAATTACTCATTTTGTAGATAAGTTTTTAGTTCTCATGCCAGAGTAAAAAAAATAGGTGTTTACCCCCTTGTATAACATATGCATATAAAATACATCTTTGAATAACTTCACATGTAAAAGTATTTAGAGAAATTTAAAATCTTGGGGGGGGCAATTTAAGTTTGCTGTTTTAAAAATAGATGCCTGGAATAATATCTTGGCAACATAAATGCATAGCGTGGACATTATCAATAAACTTAGTCTATTCTGTCTTACTAGAATTTAATAACTACACATATTGATGTTTTTAGTGTGGAATATATATTCACAAAAGCAATCACTTCCAGAAATTTTTCTGGCTAAGCCAACTCTTAAAGATGTATGTGTCCTGTAAAATTGACTCTTCACTTTTTTAAGTTTGGAATCACGAATGTGAAAGTTACCTACTACTCTCCATAGAGTAGGATCTCTCTCAATAAACTGTTTTCAGATATTTTAAGGTAATCGGAGTAATTTTTCCCATGGAAACCTTATTGATGTAAGAGAACGTAATGCAGTGATAACTTGTTCTGCTCAAATACAGACTGTCCTTGGAAGCAAGTTTTACTACAGACATTCATACTTTAAATGCCTTTCATGCGGTCATTCACACCAGTATCAGAATGCACTCTGTTCAGAACACAGATGGGATCTGTGTCACATCCAAAGCTATGTGGGTGGTTGATATAAATGAAAAGTACTTTGGGGTAGTGTTTTCCCCAGTATGGATTTTGTTCATTTAGGATGGTGCAAGGAGGTATCAGTATATAACTAGGTTTGGGGTTGGTTGGGGTTTCCTTTCCTCCCTGTTTACCAACCATTTGCTCAGGATGGAATGACAGGTGGACCTCGGGACTTCAGCTGCAGCTGCTCAGTAAAATTTGTGTCAGGTCTGTTAGCATTCTAGTTAATCTTCAGGGGTAACTGCAATTATTCACAAATGTATTCCTGGAAAACTTGTCCCAATTATCAGTGATCCAGGATAGAGAAGAATGCCACTCCCATCCACGAGAGAAACTTTTCATCTTGTTTTTAATCCATAATTGTTGGGGTGCAGCTCCACAGTGTTCACTGGGGAGAGGCAGTGTGAGTTACAAACTGACCCAGGAACATACAGTTTTATTTGGGGTTAACAGTTGCCATCAGTAGGAGGCTGTGGTGGTACCAGACCTCACGTGTTAAGTTGACTTCACGGTTTTGTTTTAGTCAAATAGATGTATTACTGAGCTTAGCATCTCGTGTCACGTGTTAGGTATTTAATATAAAACACCGCTTAGGAAAAATGCAGCATGACTTAGCTTCAAGTCAGCAGTAGGAAGCTGCTCAGCAGATGATCCCCAGGATGAATTTAACATAGAGAATCTCCCTCCACTTTCTGCTCTGAATTGTTCGTTTTGACTAGGCTTAAAAAGACAAGGAGAAAGGAGGATGGGTGTGGCTTAACGAGCTTGTTAAGTGATACAGGTTAGCTAATGACTTAAAACTTCAGATGATAGAAATCAACTTGGTAATGTAGTTCCATGTATGTGACATACACAAAAGACTTCAGTAACTTCTGGTGTACCTTTAGTGTTCTCAAACTTGCAGTAAATGGCTGTATTTACTTTTAAAAATTTGACCAGAGAACATTCCTAATTGCATTGCAATAACAAATGATTGTTTTATCTCAGTCCCCAAAGACACAGCATTTTATAAATACAGTCTGAATGAATGACATTTAAGAGCCAAGTGATTTTCTGTTTTAGTCTTGAGCTCAGCAAACCCCATGCACCTCGTCCTCTGCACATTGTGGCAGGGGGGG